TCTGGAAGCAAATTTGGCATGGCTCCATATCAGGAAATATTTGTCTTATGGAGGTTAGCTACCCTGCCAAGTTTGATGCTTTTATCAAAAAACGAACAACTTTGTCCCTTAACAGCTGGACTATGTCAGTAAAAGATGACTGAACTACTTGAGGCCTGGTTGGAATGATTTTTGAGCTACTGCATCACAGATAGAGCTTGCCTAAAGGGCAATCCCATTATTACAATCAAATGTTTTTGCCTGAACAAAAGTTGAGCAATTCATTTCTTTCTTCACTGCAAACTTAAAGTTAAAAATTTTGTCACCTAGATATAGTTAACACCTAGTTTAAACTGTAGTGTTTTTATTGGCCCACTGGCATTTGATTAACCCATGATTTATAATTATTAGTCTTGAAACAACAAGTAGAACTAGATTTGAAAACCAGCTTAAAGCAAATTAAAGATCAATAGATTTGAAAATAATATTCATTTTCACAAGATTAATTGCTGCAATCAGCTGCTAAATCAATTTAGCACCTAACTTACCTGGCTTTCTACCAGCATAGCCATATCTAGAAACATTTCATGAAGTTCCTGAATACTTTTCTCTAAGTTGATAATATCTCTGTGTCTAGCCTCTATGTCTCCCAGGGCCTGTCGAGCTTGTTGAGTCTCTATTACAATCTACATGTATGCACAGAAAAAAAGAAAATAGATGTTGGCAATAAAATGGCAGAAGAATTACAGCTACTAAATGTATATCTGTTGATGATTTTTTCTCTGTCAGTAACACAGGGCCGTATAAAGTCAAACCTAAAACCTGGTTACTAGTCCAGATAGCTACAGGAGACTTGTGGAAGCTCAGGCCATTATCTGTTCCTAATACATGTAACCATTTATCAGGTTTATCCAAAAAAAATCAAATTTTATTCTACACATGCTTTCAGTCCTACCAGTCCTTTAAAAGAAATCACTTCCAAACTAAACAGAATATTGTGTGACTTGAGGCTGATTTTGTTCAAGGTTTGATTTCACATACAGACAAGGGCTAATAGTTAATTAAGAACTTATTACTACCGGTATGCATCATGAAACAGTAATGCATTATGAAGTATTATAATTCAATTCAACTATGGTCTTGTATATATCCCAGGGAAGCAAGAGGCTCAAGTTAAAAAGGTCTACATTCCTGTGCCACTTTTAACTATTAATTTGTGTGAAAGCATGCAAGTGTTTTTATAACTTATACATGTACTTACATCAGAAGTAAAAATCGCAGGATCTCCTCCTTCCAACATTTCCTCTACCTCCTCATATGTCTTAGTTTTACCAGCTGTTTTACAAATTAAGAGAGTTCTATTATTACATATTCCAGTGACTGACTGAGTGAGTAACTTAAAGGAGCTCAGTCACCGTATTTTGAGTTATTTTGGCCACATACAAAATTACCTTTAAATGGTAGGAAACCTGAAAATAACAGTTTAATAAGATAGAAAAACACCAAAGAGATAATGACAAACCATCAAGGAACAAGGATGGCTAAGGATAGAGAAGATTGACACGGATTACAAACACCAAATTTGAAAAATTGAGGCTAAACCTTTCACTGTGCGCAAACCATGACTGAGCTCCTTTAATGAGTGACTGTCAGTGACTGACTAAGTTACTGATTGACTGACAGACAGACAGACAGAATGACTGACTGACTGACTATAAAAATAATGACAACAATGTAACAACCTTCTGTATAAAGATGAAAGGATCATACTTATTTCCAGTTGCCGTTGAATCCTTGCTTTACACTTCTCCCTGTAATCTGATTGTGTTGTGTTGTAGTCACTCATCACTTCTACAAATCTTCTTGCTAGAGTGGAGTGCTAAAAATTTAAGTAAAAAATATTTTAGTATCAAATTCCATGTGTTTGTAGATAGCTTCTGTTAAGGAATTTGCAAACTTCAAGTAGTTGTACCTAGTAAGTTCATAAAATTGAGACAAGTATTTTTTTACTTGTACTTTCATTCTCTGCCTTATCGGTGAAATCTTGAAGAATAAACATGTCAATACCCCCAGTAATAATCTAAATAGCAAAATGTGCTATCATACTTATCAATAACAAGTTATGACCTGACATCTTCTAATCCTTGCTTCTGCATAGTTGTTATAAGATGATTCCTGGTCTTGCTGATTTATCATCTGTTCCATTTCTTAATAAAGCCAATCACATATTAAACATTAATTATTAAATAAATCAACTCCTTAAATTTAGGCTGCCCATGTTATGGCCAATATTCAGTAACTTTATATTTAGTTGTAGCCTGATAGTTTGTCAATCTCTGGACAGAGGAATCACTTAATTACTATTAACAGTATCTCTTTCAACATAGGAGTAATTGTATGAATGGATCTTGTGACCTGTTGTGGAAGCCAACTAAATCTAATTGGGACAAGGGAAACTTGGGGTAGAAACTTATTTTTTTCTAAACTTAAGGGGTAGCAATGGATGGTGAAGAGACTATGTTGGCTTCCTTAGCTACCCATCCAGACTAGCTTGGTTCCCTTTGGTTACCGACTGGATTAAAGAAAGAGATGTCCTGGATAATGTCTGCATTTAAGAGTTAACAAGTACACAATAGGGCCATTTATACAAGGAAAACAAGCCGCAGATTATACAAGCTGCGGCTTACATGAGACACGAACTGAACCATTTATACGAGCGCGGCTTATATAAGACTCGAAGTGCTCATATAAATGGTTCATGGCTTATTTGTGACTAATACCTCACTTTTGTGTTGGTTGTCATAGCAATTGCGGAATTGCGTGAGCGCTTGAGCGAGCACGGGAAAAACTTGCACTTGCACAGTGTGAGTTCACATCTTACGTAAGCCGCAAACAAGCTGCAATACCATTTATACGAGTGGCTTTGTGTCTTACATAAGCTGCGGCTTATTTAAGCCGAGCTCAAAACCCTTGTCTTACACAAGCCGCGGCTTATGTTATCCTCGGTTTGTGTAAGACGTGAACTGGCTAAACTGTACCATTTATACGGCAAGTTCGCATCTTATTTAATCCGCGGCTTACGTGGGTTATTTTTCTCGTATAAATGGCCCTAATGTAATGCAGATATTCTGAGGCTACCTACCTTTCAGGTTTGTTCTCACAGTATTAGCTGTCCTCTTTACATCGTACATCACTCTCTCAAGTTCATCTTTGACTTCTAAAATTCCAATTTGTTATGAGTATTAAAAGAAGACTCTAGATATTGTATGCATCACTTTCCATAGTAAAATACCTAAAAGTGCAATCTTTCTAAAAGATCATTAACATTTCTTATTCATAAATATACCTGTAGAATTTATTTATTGCCAACATGTTTATATCAACTACATTGAAGTAAACAACACTGACCATTGTAAATAAATTAAAGTAAAGACTTTTTTTAAATGCCACAGAAGGAGGGGAGTAAAATGTTGGTAGCTTTTTTTTTGTTTGGGTGGATAGCTTACAGAACTTTAGGCATATTCTCATGCCAGGTATTAATTACTATCTAACTGATGATTGACTAATAATTAACTTATTTATGATTTACTATAGTTTTATGCAACATTTATTTAAGTCAGACCTACATTATTTTTGAAAGATTTGACAACGGTGTCGTGGATAGAGTATTTCACTTTATTATATGGAGAAGAGTGTTTTACTGGGAACTAAACCACTCGTAGATTCCATACGCCACTTCATCCAGGACCCGAGTGGCATATTTTCTGTATATCACCTTTGTGAGTGTCATATCGTTCAATGAAGTCACGATTCCCGCCTTTTGTTTTTGTTGAATTGGTTTCTCCATATAATAAAAAGAACATTACACGTTGGCGAGAAGATCTCGCCAACGTGTAATGTCCTCTATGTATTTTTTTTCACAAGAAAACATAAACTTTAGAAAATATATTAAGTGTGGCTGAGGTCAAGACATGAAGAACAACAGTAAAGTCAATCACATTGTTCCTTATTTATGATAAACTTTTCTAACACATGACAAAAACTATACTTGCAGTCTGTGTTCAGTGTTTTTTCGACTAAAAAATGTGCAGTACTACTCTGCAATCTACTTCATGGAATGACAACAGATAACACTGAAGTTTCAAACACATGACATAATTTGAGCAGCTATTTTTGTCAACTATGTCACTGATGTCTATCATCTTCATGAATTTTAAAACCAAATTGCACATGTATAATCAATTTTTAAAACAGGTGTATTTAAATAGCTGCATTATACAGTCTTTTTACACTTCACTATTAACAATATTGCCCTTTAGAGTTCCTGTTTACACTCTCACAGGACAACTCAATAAACTAGTGAGCAAATGATTGACACAGTGAATTTGCAAAAGAGTTGGAGGGCTGTCAGGGTACTAATCTGAAGATGAAAGGGAAAGACTAAGAAATAACATTTTGTCTGAGTCTGTCTACTCAGAAATCACTTCAACCGTGTACTTAAAAATTTAGGCAACTATGGTCTGCTGTAAACCAAACATGTAAATTCAGTAGCGCAAAGTTCTGACATTTCAAGGAAAATTGAACTAAAGCTTACTGATTTATAATCACTTAACGTTCATATATGGAACATCAAGCGATCTTAATCTCAAAGTACCTTGCTCTTGGACTGCAGCAGACAGCATTGCACTGTGCATTTTCTTGACTTGCTCAACATCTTGGGCTATTTTATCGATGTTACCTCGTATTGTGGCGACCTTAGACGAAAAACATTGTAAGAGAACAAGGCATTACTAATACACAGGCTCCATAAGGAACTTGTATATAGCTATGCGGAACTTACGTGTTGGAAGAAATTATCCATAAAGGTATTTTCCACGGTAATAGTAGTCGAAGGTTCATCGTAATCCTGTGGATCATCGTCATCAACATTTCCCTGCAAAATCACAAAGTTTTGATCGTGTTATTTTGATCTGATCTGTCACCACTGCTCCATTGATGTATAAAAGCATGAGGCGGTAGTTTAGCCGGCAAGAAATATGGAACAAACTGCAAAAATACACAATCATCCGTTCGTTTGGCACAACAGTTTATACTAACAGCAGTTTTCAAAGCCTCTAATCGGTCCCTCATTTTGGAAGCACGAATAAATACTAACTAAATGTCCAGTACAAACTCGAAACCACCTCCCCAAGATCGAATGTTGAATGCAGCCTACGGACTTTGTCAGCGGTTTGCCCTTCGACGGTATACCAACAGGAGAGGGTACGGGAGGCGGTTGTTCACAGGCTATCCGACATTTCCCAAGAAACTTTTCACCTTCAGGTTAGTTTGGCCGTGATTGTCACACGTGCTGGATGTAACATAGTATGTTCACAGACGCTTTGTTTTGTCTTGAGTTTGTCCAGATCGCAATAGCAAAACATTGACCCGGCGCTGGAATATGAACAAGCCAAAAAGCAAGGGGGTCGGGCTGGGGAAAGACAAAAATAGAGTCTTTATTTCAATTTTGTTTTAGAGCTGAACTCAAAGAAGTTTCGATTTGCTTCAATAGTTAGACACAACCATTGATCACCCTGTGGAAAGACCTAGAAAGGCGTGCCAGTGTTTATTAATTTATTTATCTATTTTTTGATTGAAATATTGATTTACTTATCGATTCATTAACTAACTTAAATATTTTATTATGTTACTTTTTTACTATTTTATTAACCTAATGATGTTATCACTCTAATAAGAAAGAGCACCATAGACCAAAGTAAAGGTAAAAAAGTCAAGAAAATGGAAGGGATTCAAGAAAATGTTCCTGCAGATGTTTTCATCATTCCTGATCATTCCTGAGATATTGCACTTGGGAGTTAACTTATTTCTACGGAATTACAAAAATCTCAAATTTCGCCCTCTGCATATACATGCAACATTTGTTACACCACACACTGACTGCCCTTCTATGTCGAGTGAGATCTGGGTATGAGCGAGTTCATTTGGCGACTGGTTTTGACCGGTTAGCACATTGCAGTTGAACCACGAGTGCGTTTTCCTTTCAAAGGAGTTAGTCTTCTTGTCGATTAGAAAGTCTTTTGTCTGCCTCAAAATTTCTCGGAAAATGTCTGCAACTGTGGATGGATCTCAAGTTCAACCAGTAGCAACATTTAAAGTAAGTTTTTCCTTCTTTTTCAAGCAAAAATTAAGCTTGTAGAGCTGCTTTAAGTGACTGCATTATTTTATATTGAATGTGTTTCAAGCTTACGCCTCTTACATCATATCGTTAGCTTGTTCTCGTTGGCGATGGTGGTACTGGGAAAACAACGTTTGTTAAACGCCATTTGACGGGAGAATTCGAGAAGAAATATGTTGGTGAGTTCAATACAAGGGCCAAGTAACGTCTTCAATTTCGCAACTGTCGCTGAACGGATCCGTTCGCAAATTGCATATTTTGCAGAAATCTGAACTAAGTTAGAGTGAGCCTAGAGTTGATTTACTCGTTCTTGTGACAGAATCGGTGCATTTCAATGCATTTGGCGTCCGAAATTGCTTGACATCTCTTGCAGATTTGTAGAACCATTAGCCCTGAATTTTTTAAACCATGAAAGTTCCCGCGCATTTTTTTACACGCAACACGCATGTCAGTAGGTCAGTCTGTTTCAGAATACCGCGTTGTTTGAAAGACTCGTTGGCCATATTTTGTGTAAAAGACCTTTCTCATTAAATCTAAAGCACATAAAGTAAGAAATAAAGCTTACAGGAAAAACTGCTGAAATATTCAAAATAAAAATGCAGACTGCAGTACTGTTAATTTACTAACATTAACCCTGTTTTCCGTATAGCAACACTAGGAGTTGAGGTACATCCACTTGTATTCTATACAAACAGAGGGCCTATCCGCTTTAACGTGTGGGACACAGCTGGTCAGGAGAAGTTTGGTGGCCTTCGTGATGGCTACTACATTCAGGGTCAGTGTGCCATTATCATGTTTGATGTCACCTCAAGAGTGACGTACAAGAATGTACCCAACTGGCACAGGGATCTTGTTAGGGTGTGTGAAAACATCCCTATTGTTCTTTGTGGAAACAAGGTTGACATCAAAGATCGTAAAGTCAAGGCCAAAACAATTACATTCCACAGAAAGAAGAATTTGCAGGTATTGTAGATGCATGTTCATGAACATTCATAGAAAATGAATCTTAAAGTAGTGACTTTAAAGCATACTTTTTTTTTTTCTTAAATGGGCTCCTTTTTTGAAAGTAGGAGAAATTTAGATAGAAAGCAAGGAATTTACAAAGTATCATATACACTTGAGAAGGGTACAAGTTTTTTTTGGAAGCAACTTAGATTGAACAAACTCAAAGATAAAGGATAGCAACACCCACCCATGACACACCATTTACAAAGGCCAATACAATTGTGAGCAAATTTATATTGACGAAACTGCATGCAACTGTGAAGAGACCAGCCAAACACATCAGAGAACATCCAAATATCATATTTTCCTGGGACATCTTAGCCATCGTTCACTCTTGGATGACAAGAAGAATTACAGAAGCATTTTGCATTGCAGACTTCCATCCCAAACTTTACAAACTGTTCCCTGTGGGAATTGGCATTATAAGAACACCCTGGTTTTGTTTGCAGACCTGACACTGATGATAATCTGATCAAAAATGTTTAGTATTCATGGTAAATGTTTTACATATTTTAACTTGGCTAAATGTAAACTTTGTTGAAAAGTGTTTAAATTGGCCTTCATTTTGTAATTTATTTTCATTATTTTTGGGCACTCAAGCTTCCTCTGTCAGTGACTCACTTGTACAAAGTCTTGATTAGCAAAGAGATTGAAACCCGCAAGAGTCTGTCTCGATTGGTATCTGGACTACAGACAATCTTGGCTGTCAAAAAAGTTGTGCTGGCCTTCATAGCTAGTCAAGTATATGTACTGGATGCATGAATTCTAATATCACTTTTAATTTCTTTTTCAGTACTATGACATCAGTGCTAAAAGTAATTACAACTTTGAGAAGCCATTTTTGTGGTTAGCACGGAAACTAGTAGGTGATGCAAACCTGGAGTTTGTCGAGATGCCTGCTCTTGAACCACCAGAGGTTGAAGTTGACCGACAGCTTATGCAGCACTATGAGAAGGAACTCAGTGATGCCCAACAAGTAGCTCTTCCAGATGATGATGATAATGACATTTAATCTTTTGGAGCGAGAGACTTTTCTTGTTTCAATGTCAGTCTCATTTAGTGAAGTTGTTCTATACCTTGTAAATTTTCCAGCTTTTGTTACTAGATTCAGAGTGAATTTTAGAAAATAGAGCTACTAAGTACAATAAATAGAGAAGGTTGAAGATGCTATGTTAGTAGACAAACATATAAGCTTTCTGTGGTCAGTTTAGTAAAAGCATATTTGAAGGGTTGCTGTTGTAAGGCATGATAACTTGGGGGCAGTAAATTGTTTTGACCCATACACCCATTTCTCCCGATCATAAACTTGAAACTGCTCATAACTGAATTAAGAGCAACTCTAAATACAGTAAATTTGAAGGATCCATAAGCAGAATCAAAATTTAATACTTAGCTTTCCTTTTCTTTTATGGATAAGAGCATGTTAGTTTTTCAGTGTAGATTTCTGTCTTGTTCATCTTTGCAGTCTCATTAGTTTACAACTTTGATTAATAGAAAACGTCCAAAAGGAGCTGTACTGTTTTGCTGCAGCTGTTCATTTACTCTAATTTGTTTTTTTCTTGCCAACAAAAACAAAACTACATTAATTGAGTGTAAATTAATATATTGGTGAGTATTTAGTATGACGAAGCATCATATTTTAGAATCCAAAAAGTACACAAATTACATGGAGAAAACCAGGCTTCGAAAGAACCCTGCTATCACACTAGTTATTTATCAAGCTCCAAAGTATTTTCAGGACTTTTTCACAAATGTGCGTTTATAATATATATACTGGTATAGATGACTTTCAGCTGATGTCAATGCACAGAGATTGTTGCTGTTACAACTGTAATATGTATTCAGCAGGTCATGATACGCTGATACTTGACAGAGAAAGTAAACTTTGCTTATTGTACTTTCTGAGAGATAATGAGAATACCCCAGTGGAGTTGTAGCATTGTTTCACTGTGTACCCAAGTTCAATATTGTCAAATTGAGGTATGCCTATGACTGTTAAGTTAGCAGATGAGATTGGTATTGTGCAGGTCCAGAACATAACCATGCCCACACCAAGGATGGTCATCATAACTTCCAAGGGAGTGGGAGGTCTCAATATCTAAATTTTTAGAGGGAAAGTATGAAGCTTAAGGTGGCTTACTACAGTTTTTCGGAGACTTAGTGGTACGCACTGATTGCCTGCCAGACAGTATTAATCACGCATGCAAAAATGGCGCAAGTAACCCTAAGAAGAAACGAAAACCACTTCTGCGCTTGAAAGGAGTTAAATCACTTCGGTATACTTGGCTATAGTTTCAAACTCCATTCAAACAGGTGTTTAAGCCTAGGGCCAAAAAAATATGAGAAAAACTTGATAAACAACCAGTAAAAGAGCTCTAATCTACTCTTGCTTTCTTGCATGGGATACATGACATCACATGAACATGGGCTTAAATAAAGGGCATGCACAATCCAATTCTCGTCCAAGGTTGTAAATGCCAGTCTTGGTCGAGGATTGTTTGAAAACCTACTGTACAACCCATAATGAAATTTTCACAGTTGATTTGTAGGGGTGAATCATGTTTAGAGCCAAAATTTTAAAAATATCTGCAAGACAGATTTTGAGCTATTTTTGATGTCACATTTTCTTAGTTTGTGAAAAATCCATCTTACAGATTTTATTTTACTTTGCATAAATGTTAAATCATAGCCAATTTCTTATTCCTGAAATTTTGAGGTGGGGTCATACGGGTAGATTTTGTGAAAAACGTGATTTAACCTACTGGTGCCCAGTCTCTCCTTAGGTACTCGGTCGTTTATTTTGGTCATCTGTTGACAATTAATTGTTCAAGTTTCACTTACAATGGTAAAAGACAAGCAAAAAGTAAATAGAGAAAGGAAAAACATTTTGGGACATTTTTCAAAAGAGTTAGAAGTTGGGCCGTTATAATTCATCAAAACTGCAGTAAGCCATCTTACTGCAGTGGAGGTATGGATATTTCCTGGAATCACACATTGATATGTTTTGTCTTTGTCCCGTCTTCCAACACAGTGAGCAGGTTGTTCGATACCCTTACAAGATTAGGCATTTGGTGTGTGCAGGCTGTATTGTGCTCAAATGCAAAACAACAAATCATCTTTAGCTAACTGGTTTTGTTTAATATCAGTTTATTTCCTGAACATTTTACCTTTCAATAAAATAGAACAATCAATTAACAGCACGGAACTTACAAGCTAATAATGTTACTAATTACAAGAGTGTTTTGTTGATGAATTCATTGCTTGTTTTTTATTCAAGTTAAGGGAGAAAAACAAGCAGTTCAGTTTCCTACTGTTAGTGTAAATCTGTTTATCATACAATTACTGATTTTTTCTCCGTGTAGGAAATACAGAAATTATGCATTGAATTAATGCATATAAGTCCATTTGGAGTCCATTGGGTCATATGTACATGTTGTTACTTCCTTTGTTTAAGTGAACTGTATGCATTGTTGTATTGTTTTCATGGAGTTAGCAGTGTCATCTTTTTGTTTGTTTGCTTTGTTCTTGTCTCTGCAATTGCCGTTTGTAATCTTCAAATGTCAACAAGTCAGCCTCCACCCCAGTGTTGCTTTTCTTTTCAAGAAATAGCCCCAGAGATTCTCGATGCAGAAGAGAGATGCTCCGGTTCCAGTAAGGTTCCTCTATTCCCAGCAACTCACGAACTTTTTTTGCTATTACCTGGTTAAATGAAGGAACAAAACCAAAACAAGTTTAACTTTGTGCTTGATTGATTAAGATTTCTTTGAGATCCTCAGAATAAATTATTTGTGTAATGATTATTTCTTACTGGAAGAATGCTATAAAATTGATCACTTCCAGAGATACTTTCTCCAAAAAGAAAACACAATCCAGTTCTGGAAAACCAATGAGAAGTCAGATATTCAGATGTGAATGGACCATTTCCCCAATACCTTATCTTGAGAAAGCAAATAATTATTTAGGACTGTCAAAATTATTCTCTAATCATGGTGATGACAACGCAATTTGTTCAATACTATAAAAGCTAACTATATTTTTGTACGTACCTTAATATGCTCAAAGTCAGTGATACCCATTCTTGGTAGAGAAGAAGCATCAACAGTGATAAGTTTTCTTCCATTTATAAGGTTATCTTTGAAACAGGCCTGTGAACAATCAAATACAGTTAGACTTACATGTAACTTTGCATGCTTTATATTAACATTTTCTTATGGTGCTTGGGGGGGTACTCCCTTAATGGTCAATACTGGGAGGTTCCATCCAAAAGGGATACCTTTTTTAGGCTTCAGGTACATAAAAGGGTAGGGATTTCACAAGTTGAGGTATAAGAAAGGGTAGGGAAATCTGTCATTTTGGCATTTAATTAACATATNCCCCCCCCCCTTCACCCATTTCTTTCACCTCATGCCTACTTCTTTGGCAATTTTCCCTCCCCCCAACCCTCCACAGTTACCAAATCTAAGATGAAGATGGCAGCCTAATATCAAAATGTGAACTCACGCACCTAAAATACACCTGCACTGCAGGCTAAACATGACAAAAATTTTAAATTTTAACATTAATGTGATAATCTTATAGTGTCTAGTATATTAATTTTT